TGATACCTCCAGAAATAGAGACTTTGTTAGATCATGAAAATGATACTTTGGAAGCATCATGAAAGTTACTAGAGAGACACAGGGTCTTCAAATGGTCTTCAAATGTATTAAGTTTTAAGATTCCCCCCAAATCTTTATGAAATCCACCCGTTTTATTAAGTCCATATGGAGAAATATATTTAAGTAGTAATAATTTAGTCATAATGATTGAATAGTTAATAATGACATTGATTAAACACTGAAGCAGATTACTAAAAAAGGTTATAGTTTCCATTTTAAACCATAAGAGAGAAGAATTAGTAGAATAATTTTAGTTTTAAGCTTTCATCTGCCTAGAGTGAATAGGTTTTTTTTCTTTTAAATATATATCTTATCTTTTCAGTTGACTAGTGTGCAAAACAGACCTGTAACTTCCCTTTTTGTTGCATTGTATTGACATATTTTTATATTTCTATATGCAGTGCTTTTTCAAGTGATGGGACAATCCAGACAGTTCAGCTGAAGTTTTTAGTAGCTTCACTGTATTATCACTTCATAATGGTCTTTCTTCGGGTGCCTTGGTGGCTCAATTGGTTAAGCATCTGACCTCAGCTTGGGTCATGATCTCACGGTTTGTGAGTTCGAGCCCCATATCAAGTTCTCTGTTGTCATTGCAGAGCCTGCTTCAGATTCACTGTCTCCTCTCTCTCTGCCCCTCCCCTACTTGTGCTATAAATAAATAAATTAATTAATTAATTAAAAAAAAGTAACGGTCTTTCTTTTGGACTTGAGAGTGTAGGGAGAATAATTGAAGACTGAATTAGAGTCACTAAATGTGTCTTCGTCTTCTCTTGGTTGGAGATGGTACTAACTCAGAAACTGGATTTAAGTAGGGCTCTGAAAAAGGTAAACCAAACTTGACAAAATGACAGTATAATAGAGCAGTATCTTAAATCTGACTTGTAAAGTAAAAGTGCATAATGCCTGCAACATACTCTGAAAAGTTATGGAAAAAATTACATGTGTAGACAGGTACATAGGTAGAGAGATACAGAGAGAATGAAGAGAATGAATAATAAAGCAAGTGTGGTAAAATGTTAACATTTGGAGAATCTGGGTGCCTTGACCCAGTACATAGGAATTCTTTGTACTATTTTTGTAGCTTTTTTATAAGACTGAAATTATTTCAAAGTAAAAAGATAAAAAGAAATGACTTACCTACAATCAATTCCTGCCAGCTCTTTCATTTGTCTCTCTTTTCTTCAGCACGTTCATGCGGTCAGGGAAGTTTTGGCTCTCATTTCTTGCCATTTTTCTGGATGATTTCAGTGTTTTAATAAGTAACACTTTCAGTACCCTGATTCCTTGATCTTCTTCCACAAGTGCCTTCGCCATCAATCTATTTCATTTACCCATTCCCAGATGAACCACATCTTGGACTTTGTCTTACATATTACTCATTTTAGAAATTTTTACTGCTGACTATAACATCTTGTCATTTCAAGAAAGACCTACAGGAAATATCTGTGTTTTTCCTAAAGCTTTTCCTTCTCTGAATTCATGCTTCTTCTTTCTGTTATTTTATTCTTAGAGTCTGTCAACTTTTTCATTACATCATCTAACTCAAACCCTTTGGTAGTTGATTGCTTTGCACATTCCTACTTTGTTGGAATTTCCTTTGGGAAATCTTCCCAGAGTCTTCTGGTTGAACATCAGTATGTCTAGCATGTTTTATATTTGTTCTCTATGGTCCTAATATAGCACTTTCTACATTGTATTGTATTCAAATCATTAGATCATTTTGCCTCCTCACTGTACTATAGAGTCCTTGAGGGGAGAGTCTGTTTCCTACTCGCCTTTGTTTTCTGAGTACTTTCATACAACATATCACATTGGAGGTTTACATTAATTATTTAATTAATGAATAAATACATTAATTAGAAGGGTCGAACTTTCTATACAAAGGTTGAATTCTGATTTAGGATAATATAATATGGCAGACTAGCAAAGCATTGAGAGAGGATTTAAGCAACATTTGCTGTAACGGTAAGAAAAAAAAAAGGCAGGCAAAAGGAAAGTGTTATAAATCAGCCTTGTTGACTCCAAAGTAATATTAAATTCTCAGTGGCAGAGTATGGATAGTTTTATTTGCAGAGCAGGCTCCAAATGCCTGGTAGTACAGAGCAAGATTAGAAACATCTTGAATTAATCATAGCCAAATCACACAGTACAGGGTTCTGCAAAAATATTAAACATTTAGAATTAAAATCCAGAAGTACATTAGGACTTGCTGAATTTATTTTAATTATACTATAAGGGATTATAATTACTATAATCCAGGAAGGATCTGCATAGAATCCTTTTATTGGGAAGCTCTGAGTTTGGAGAAGATAGGAGAAGACCAGATTTCCCTGGTGAAAAGGTGCTGATTTGCCAAGAATTCAGTAGGTCACCAAACTTGACATTAAATAACCTGAAGTAAGAAAGAGAGCTATAAATATAGTAAGCATGTAGCAAGTATACATATCAGGGATGAGGTAAAGTAAACACTAGGAGGTTAGAAATTAGAGGAGAAAGATGCTAAACTAAACCCAGAAATACAGAAGTAAAAATATGGGACGAGTTGTGCATAGTTGTAAGATAATGGTAATATAGATTGGAAACTGTTCAAAGAGTGAAAACTTAAGATTCTGAAGCAGTTTGTATAGTGTTATCATAGAGAACTGAGGACTTTTTATAGCTGCAAATGCTCATCTTTTTACCTTTTTGAAAATCTTTGTAGCTCATAAACTAGAGAGTAGTATAAGCAGTAATAGTAACTTTTTGATCCATCACTGGGGACAATTTTGGTTATTTCCATACTTGTTTCAGTAACTATTTATAATTCTCTTTCATTTTAGTAACAGTTGATCCTTGAGCAGTCTAGAGGTTAGGGGTTCCAAACCCCTGCACTCAGAAATTTGTGTATAACTTTTGACTCCTCCAAAATGTAACTACTTAATAGTCTACTGTTGCCTTACCAATAATGTAGTCAATTAACACATATACTGTATGTTGTATGTATTAATCTGTATTCTTATAATAAAGCAAGCCAGAGAAAAGAAAATGTTATTAAGCAAATTATAAGAGAAAATACATTTACAGGGGTGCCTGGGTGGCCCAGTTGGTTAAGCATCTGACTTTGGCTCAGGTCATGATGTTGCAGTTTGTGAGTTCGAGCCGTGTGTCAGGCTCTGTGCTGACAGCTCAGAGCCTGGAGCCTGCTTTGGATTCTGTGCCTCCTTCTCTCTGCCCCTTCCCTGCTGTCACCTTCTCTCTCAAATATGAATAAACATTAAAAATTTTTAAAAAAGAGGAAATAACATTTACAGTACTTCATTGTAGTTATAAAAGAAAAAACTCACAGGTAAGTGGACTTGCACAGTCCAGACCCATGTGTTCAAGTGTCAACTGTACTTTTAAAATTATGTGTTTGTGTTAGAAAGCATTGTTTATTGAGATAGTGGTATTCTTTAATGTCCATTTATAAAATTCCTTAATTCAAATTTTGGGATTCCATTATACTAACACCAACTTCTTCTAGAAAAGTAGACTGATGAACATCTGAAGCAAACCATGTGTTTTGAAATGTCAGAAACCAACAGGATAATCTTCAGATACCTAGAATTGTTAAAGTTTAAATACAAACAGTATAATGTTGGATTTTCATAGATATCTTACAGTGTATAATTATGATAGCATCGTCTCCCTATTTGTTTCCTCAAACAAAGTGAAATTGACAGTAATTTACTGAAACAAGTGGTTTCTGTTTTGGCTTCAGCCACCAACAAGATAATATCCCAGATTTAGAGTTTATGACTGGCTAGACCGAGTTTCAGCATATTCACAAGCAAAGAATTTCTCCTTAAAGAACGAATACTTTGTGAGAAGTAGCTTATTTATAAGTGCTCCTATTTTGTTTTTATTCTAAAACTACTCTCCTCTGCTTTTCTGCTTAAAAGGATTTTAAGTTTGGCAGGTTGGGAAAGGCATCGTCAACAAGGAGGTGAGAATCACTTGCATTTTAAAGTTCAAGAACAATTGATGCTAGAAATAATAAAGTATTTGTTGCAACGAGTATTTGTGCCTATTGGTCTGATTTACCAGTAAAAGAGTTTGTTTTATGTACTTGCATGTATGTCATTTTCTTCCAAAAATTTCACATAGTATGAGATATACTATTCTTTTGAAATAGCTATTATTTACTAGTTACAGCTTAAGATAATTTTTATGAGATAGCCAGGCATTACAAAACAGATTTTCTAATGTATAATGTGTATCCGATGAAGTAGAAGTAAAAAATAATTCTTCTTATATTGTATTAATTTTAGTATTATGATAACGATTACAAAAATAATAGCTAACATTTGCCAATGTGCCAAACACTAGACCAGGTACTTTGTATGTATTAACTTGATTAATCCTTACAATAACTCAAGTAAAAGTGCTCTTATGTTCTCATTTTACAAACAAGAAACTTAGGCTTTGATGGGTTATGTAACTTGACCAAAGTTATGCACTAGGCAAAGCTGGAATTCTAGCCCAGGCAATCTGATACCAGAGTTGTATGCACAGTATCACTTCCCTATAGTCATTAACTTATTGCATCCTATTTTTTGAAATCTCAAAAAGAAATCTAGAAAACAGTGCCTCTAAATCTTTGTTTCTCAGCTTTGATCGGATGCTGGAGTCATTTGGACACTCTGACAGATTTTGATTTAGTTAATACAAGATGTTGTCTGGGCTAAGGATTTCTAGAAACTCCTCAGGTTTTTTCAACCTGAAGTCAAAGTTGTAAACCACTGCCCTAAAAGCCCCACCAGATGTGGAAAAACCACTGTACATGCTTTCCTGATTACAATAGGAGTAAGACTAGTAAGTTTAAAGCTCTGAGAGCACCTATTTCCACAAAATATTCGTTTGAATGATTTAATATGTAGCTATGGTATTTCATGTATCATTTGTTTTTGTTTTAAATACAGAGATAGCCCATAGTTACCTTGAACAAGAGACTACAGGGAGAAGTAAAAGTACAGAGCCAGATGAGCAACCAACTGTGAATTCTAAGGAAAACATGCATCAGAAGTCCAATGAATTGGTTAACGAAGCCACCTATGAGGACACAGAACTGCCAGGGCAGAGATCAAGGAATTTTCCCTATCCAGGTGATGAGACAGCTGACTGTACTACTGAAAAATCCAAGTAAGTGCTGGCAGCCTTAGATTTAGAAAGTAAGATTGAGAGAACTTTTTTCTCCCTCCCTCCCTGCCCCATTCGTCCCTTCCTTCTTTCTTTTTGGCTTCAGCTACATTGGACATATCTTTAACCTAGTAGAATTTGGGCAGTCTACCAGAGTTTTCTACTGAAACATTGATAGAATGCATATAGATTGTTAAGTGAAAAAGCACAAGGTGAGTTTAAATGAAGGTCATGAGATTTTATTTCTTCTTCTTAAATATTATTTTCTGTAACCTTTCATTTTGGATCTGGAAGTAACTGTTCAGTTGACATAAATGGAAAATATTCATTAGAGCCCAAACCTGGCAGCTCTAGGACAGAATAAGCCCAAAGATGTGTTTTGGTTTTGGTTAGCATGGTTTTTTTGTTTAAAGGAATTTGAATGCTTTTAGAAGGGCCTTGTACTTTCCCATTTGCCGCCTTTTTTATTTTCCATTCTACAGCTTTCACCGTTCACCTTACCTTCTTATCCCATGAAGGGATCTGAATTTGTGACCCCTAAGACTTTTACCTCTAAGGGATTAAAGTACTTCCAAAATTACTCATATATTTTGAAAATATTGCAGAATTGCTTTCTGGAGATAGGGTTAGGGATGAATAAAGAGGTGGTAAGCATTTTATAACCATGTGGGAAAAATAAATAGTAGAGATTGGGCTAAAGCCAGAGTATGAAATATCTAATACAGTTACAACAGAAAGTATACATGGTAGGTAGAGCTGCACTGACTGTCCCAGGCTTCACTGCCTAACTGCTTTCCTATGCTTACAAGTTGAATACAATGCCTTCAAAAAATAGTCCATCTCTTTCCCTTCCTTTCTTTATACTCCTTGCTGGCAGGTCAACACTGTCCTCAAATAGCATACAAAATGTCAAAAAAAATTACTTACAGTTAAATGTTATAGGAATAGGTTTTCAGTTTTATTTTGAGTTTAATAACAAAAATATGATATTCTGTCAGCCACAGTGAAAAAAGTATTACTGTTATTTTCATTTTCAGAAAAGTGAGATATGTCCTGACCAAAAGTATAAATTGAATTATTCATATCCCCCAAAACCTGAATTCTTTACATATACTTAACAATGAATTTCTATAGAAATGACTAAATGATTTCCACAGATTTAGCTCTCTCGGTTGATAAATTAAGAGCTCTTTGAAATTGATACATTTATTTTCCATCCATAGTATTTTCTTAACAGCATATAACAAGAGAAATGTAAAACTAAGTGACTTTATTTATTATTGTTTAAATTAGTCTTCCTCATTTGAAGTGTAAAATGATAGACCTTGCATGGTAGAAACCATATGTGTATATAGTTCAACAGTTCTCCTTCTTACAGCATTGTGGAACACAGAGATCATGATTTGCATTGTGAGTGTATGATCCCTTGTCAAGTTACTTCAGACTTAGATAAAGAGAAGACAATAGCATTTCTTCTAAAAGAATTGGACATTCTCAGAGCAAGTAATAAAAAGGTACAGTATAGAAAGTCTGATAATTGTACAGTGTACTTTTAGCTGTTGATCTTCTAAGTTTGCTTTGTTGCCCATCATAATTCATTTTCATCACCTACTTCTAGCCTTTCATGGCGGCTTTATGTTGTTGCCATACCATGCCATCAGAGTGTGATTGAATTGGAATTGCTATAAAAAGCAGTTTCTTTACTTTCCTCCCTTGCTGGCCTGTGATACCACTTCTTTTTTCATAAATCTAGTACCTTGAGTAGGTATCTAAAAGAAAAAGATTCGTTCAAGTTTTATGGTGGTAAAAGTTTACTTCAGTATTATAGAAAGTGAGAAATATAATGAATGATTTCATGTTACTTAACTTTCTTTTTTTCTCTTAGTATCTGTGCCCTGTATTTCACCTCAGTAATATATGTGATTAAATTCTGGCAATAATTGTCACATTCCTTGTGTTGTTATATACTGCTACATTTTGTCCAATGCAGTTAGTCATGTCATGTTTTTTATCTTTCCTGACACTTTCTAGTCACATTTCTTTGAGCATTAAGTAATGTTCATTTTCTATGCCTTCTGTTTTTTAACCTGTGCATACCTCTACATACTTTTCTGATTTTCATATTTCTAGTTTTTGACCTAATCAAACTGAAGCATGATGTTAGAAATGTTAATCATTTCTGAGGGAAAATAACACAAATGACAGACAGACAGTTGAGGGGTTTTGTGTGAAAGTAGGAGATATGCTCTATATTTTCATTTAGTATTTATTACATGCTGGTTATAAATCAGGTGCCAGTGCTGATTTAAATGGAATATGATGGGATAGCATTCTCAAAGGAGATTTGTTTCACGTATTAAGATTATTATCTTAATTAATTTTGTTTCACAGTATTAGAATTACTAAGAGAAGCTGTAAAGCTGTTGTCGTTTTTTTATTAGGATATTGCCTTCCAAGTCTTTTGCTTTAAGACAAAAGAACAGATCAGATTGCTTTTTGCAGTGAGTTACTTTTAATAATTATGTCATTCCCTCTTTAATTTCATTTGCCTATAAACACACACATACAAGTTAAGTATATATCAGAACGTTGTTATAATTTCCTTATAGGTAACTAATTATTACTTTAAAAAATATCTTAAAATTTTAAATATTGTAGGATTCCCCCCCCCCCCCCCCCGCTTAGACTTATGTATTTAGGCAGTTAAATGTAATACATAACGGTTTAGAAAAAATAACTTTTACTTTGGGATTATATTTCTGTAAGAAATTTGTCAAATAAGAGTCTATGTTTCTTTCAATGTGTTTTAGCTTCAAGAAAAACTGACTAAAGAAGATAAGGAACAGAGAAAACTAAAGCTTAAGCTGGAACTCCGGGAGAAAGCAACAGAAGCTCATATTGCTGAGAAGACAGCAGGTATACTAGATGAGTATTAACAGAGTTATTATATGATGTGGCTCAGTGAATACTAGCATACTAGCTTATTTGCCAAAGGAGTGGAGCCTCTTTTTTTTTTTTCTTTTTGGCTGCATAGAAAATAGGTGGCTTTAACATCCTGGTACTGGTATTAGTGAGAGCTTTACCTGTATTCATACTGATTTGGGCATTAAATGCATTGTTAACACCATGTCAATCCAATCACAAAAAGGTTGTTTGTTTTGTTGGAAGGGCCTGAACAAACAAGGGGAAATAATGATTACCAGTGCCTCTACCTTTCAACCAGCAGTTCAAATACCACTTATTGTTTTAGCTCGTTGAGAGGAAATACTTCTCTTTTGTGTGAGGATAGTCATATATTCATTGCCAATGGAAACCTACATTTGATTCAAAAATGTTTTGTGCAATTAATAAATTTTCATCTGATCATGTGGATGATGATGGAGATAATGTTTTCACTGAAAAGATTAAAATGAAAGGTTGCCAGAGTTGAGAATTGTAAATGACTGCCTTAAATATGTTTTGGAGTCTATCTTTATTCACAGGTCTTTGTAAGGAAAATTTTTTTTAAATATCTGTGATATGTTACGGATAAGTTCAGATGATTCTCAATAGTTTGTGACACTGTTGCTCACACTTTTATGTTAAGGAGAGAGATTTCATAGTAAAATAGAAATTAACCAGCAGAGGCATTGTAGAGATTACTCATTTTAACATTTTTATATCAGTTAGAATGATTTTAAGAAATTATTTTGTGATTAGTTTGAAGCTGTGTTAAGCTGGTTACATATATGAGAGAATTCTGGTTTTGTAGTTGAGGAACATTTCACAGGTAGACTGTCTTTAAAATATTACTGTACAAAATAGAACTGAACATCATTATGAATATATAACCAAAATTACCATAAATAAATACTGCAACTAAAATAACAGATGGTTGCTTTTCTGTACTGTTAAACTACCATGAGTGTTTTTTTTTCTTTTTTAGTAGAGAAATATGAGACTAATATATTTTAAGGAAAAATAACAGTATGTTAAAAATGAATAATTCAGATAAAAATTTAGAACAATTTCGAATTTTGTTGGCTTCTTATAATCAAATACATATATGCGAATTACTAGGAAGATATTATAAGAAGTGCATTTGTTAAAGGTGTTGTATAACTCTGCATGTGTCTTGCAGGAGTAATTTGATAAGATTTAGGGCATTGTGATTTACTGAAAAGCATAAATTAATTTGTTTGCATAGAGCACTTATATCTTGGAGGGGAAATATCATTAAGCACTATTATCTACTCTTAAAACTTTTGCATGATATAGCTAATCATATACTTCAAATATTTACTTATTTGTATATACTTAAGACTCCCCTTTGACTAAATAATATGAATCATGCATGCATATAATGGAAGAATTTGATTGCTTTATGTCTTGTTAATCAGATATTTCTCATTAATGATACATTATTATTTTAGTAAATTTTAAATATTTGAGATGTTTGGTATTTTTATAGCCTCCTAAATTGATGAAAATAGTACTGCAATCTAGTTAAAAAGAGATACATCCAATCACTTAGTTTCAAAAGTGACACAAAATGAAAATCCTTTAAAGTTTTTTAAAGTATAAATTTTCACTGTGTATCTTTTTAATGTTTCAGTTCTACCTTATTAAAAAATATTAAATATATTTTACTTACGACATTAGAATCATCATTGTAATATGTCAAAAGTTTTAAAAAGCTGAATTTCTTCAGCTTTTTAAACCATTGCTTAAGAAATCCATTGGTTTGAAACTATAGGAAATTCATTTACTCTTGATAGACTTATGATTTTTTTCATATTTTCTCATACATACGATCTTTAATAGCTTATTTTCTGCCCGACTTGTAGCAAGTGCAGACAAAAAGCAAAACACAGTAACAAAAAAAGTATGTCAGTACCTTAATAGAAAGAGGAACATTACAGGAATATGATTACATGTGATAAATGTTTTCTTTAGTGCCATATGAAAGGACAAATAATCTGCATAACAACAGCAAAAAAATCCACACAACTATTGATGTTTGTTTCTGTCATTGCTCATTTTCATATTCAAAATAAAAAGTGTATTTGGTAAAGTATATTATAAATATGACACATTTATGTGTTACAGTGTACTTAAGCAAAGTATAATTGTTTAAAAAAATCAAGTTATTCCACATTAAAAGAAATACATGCAAAAACATCTCAACTAAACATTGGAAATTGCAAATAAGATACAAAAATATATGTTTATAGATTTTTCAAATGTTAATTAAAATATCAAGTACTCTAAGGAAATAGCCATTTCCTTGCAATGTATGGCATAAAGATTTATATATAAGAATATTCTTATCGGTATTAGTTATAATAGCCAGAGAACTAAATTCAAACAATAGGAGAATGGTTAAATGAGATATGTTTATGCTGTGAGACATTATATGATAACTAAAAATCATTTCTGAATATCTGGTGATGTGAGAAAATCTTCATGACTCAATGTGCATGGAAAGTAGGGAGGGTACTGCATTTAAAATATAATTTTGTTAAATATATGTGTACATGTACATTATATGAAACAAGAGGCAAATTTTTGTATTATTAATGGATGTATTAATGTTTCAGGTAACAGTTTTCTGCCTTTTCAAGTTTTATACAATGAGCGTGGATTAGATTTAATATTTGTACTCCTATGATTAGATATTAATATTATCACTAAAGTGATTTTTTTTAAAGTTACTTTCTAATCTTCAAATAATTTCTGTGATATGTTTGATACATAAAGACCACACGAAACAGTTTTATGAAATTTATATGATGGCTATGATCAAATTTTGATTTTACCTAAACCATTTCTGTTTCAGATTTTTTCTTTTATATTTGTATGTCTTTATGTGTGTCTTTCTGTGTTGTATAACTTACATATGTATTAGTCTATTTTGTCATCCCAGCTGGTTAAATATAAGAATAAGAATCTGGTACAGTCAAAACCACATGAAACCAAAGGTGCCCAGTTCTCTGTGTGACAGATTGAAATAAGGGGAAGACCAATAGCTGTGGAATCAGACAGACCCAGGTTCAAATCACAGCTTTGATATTTAATACCAACTGTGTGCCTTTGGGCAAGTTACTTACTAGCTTCTCCAGGTTTACTTTCTCTCATGTAAAATGTGAATATTAACTAATTTACCAGGTTATTTTAGGGCTTATAGATAATATATAAAAGCACCTAATGTATAACTGGTACTCAATAAATTGGTAGCTAATAGTAATATTGATTATTTTTATCTCCATACAATTCTTAAATCTTTGATAATCTCAGAAATCATAAAGAGATTTTTGTTCTGTTTAGGTTTTAATTTAAAAATGCATCTTACTTAAATGTGAGTCCAAAATAAAAGAATTGGGATACAAAAGATCTGGGCTTTAATCTAATGTGCACTTATAATAATCCTTTATGTAGACTATTAAAATAATATAAAGCTTATTTCCTTTACTTCCCTGTTAGTTTTTATATACTATGAATACTGTTACTCAAGCTTGTGGGATTTCATGTGATTTTGAAACCCCCTTGTGCCCTCTATTGTGATAAAATCTCAAATGGTTGACCCTCTTGTCTTCCCCCTTCTTTTTTGACATCACCACCAATTCTGTTTTTATTTGGCACTTTATAGGAACTAATGTAACTTCTTTAAAAATTAACCAAGAAGTATTTATTGAAGGGCCATTATGTGCCAGGCATATATACATAATATATATAACACATATATAACACATATATATGTGTTAGGCACTGAATATACACCAGCAAAGAAGACAGATCTGGGATTTCACTTTTCACTCATAATACACTATTGTAGTGGTTAAATGTTCAGATTTTGGATTCAGACCTTTGTTCTAATCTTTTTACCACTTATATGTAAGTGACAGACTCACTAAGCTTTGATTAAAAGTTATAGGTTGCTGTGACATTTAAGTGAGATAATGTGTATGAAGTGCTTAATCCATAGAAAGCACTCAGATAAGATGATTATGTTATCATCTTGTTTTCTCAAGATTCCTTGATTTAATAGAGGGTATATTCAAAGTGTACTTGAAATATAAGTAACTATCTTATAAGTATTTTATATGCTTTTGTTTCACAACGATTTGATACTTATTTCTTTTTTAAAATAATTTATGCATATTTTTATTGTTTCATTTATCCCACAGTTTTCAATTTCCCTTTTATTTTAAGATTTAACCATATTTAGATAGTTTGGAAATAAAATATTTTTTAAATCATTTCAATTAAGAAAGTAAAGGAAAACTATATAGTAAGTAGGTCTTAATTTTGCAAAAGCTGAAATGACCAGTTCATTCCATATGTGGGAAAAATTTATCTCATAGGAGCTATTTAGGACTCCTTACTGTGTTTTAACTCCTTAAATTGTACATGTGGATAAGATTATTTGAACATTATTGACATATATGACCTTTAAATACTAGGGGATATTTTAGAGAAGCATAGCAGAAACATTGACTCTGTTTTTTAGATAAATATTTCTTCTCAACTAAATAAAATGATTAAACCACAAATACTTCAAAATTTGCTTTACTTAAATTGAGTTTGACAGTGAGATGTAATATTGTATGGCCTGTTGCAAACATTAATTTACTCTTAGGTCAGTGATGTAGTTACATTTAAAAATAACTTGTTCAAATAAACCTTTCTGTTTTTCAAAATAGGCTCAGTAGGCATTATGTAGAGTGTAATGTCTCTTCATTTTTATTACTGCATTATGTTTGCAGTATACAGATGATGTTTAAATTTTACACATAAGACTATTTAGTTTCCTCTGTTGTTTTTGTGATATTTAAAATACATTTTTTAAAAGCCTAATTTTTTAAATTTCTTAAACGCTCACTTTAGAGTCTCTGCTTTATATGTTATTTTTCTTTCTTGCATGTCATCCATTAAAG